TGTGAGTGTGTGTGTGTGTGTGTGTGAGTGTGTGTGTGTGTGTGTGTGTGTGTGTGTGTGAGCACTTCAGAGCTCATTTCCCGTCTGTAAGAGGCCGCAGGTCTGAGAGCCAATCATCACCACATCTATTATAGATCTGGCCGCTCTCCATTCACTCTGACAAAGACAGCATCACACTCATATTAGAGATCACAGGGTCAGTGGAGAGACGAGGGACGTGTGAGAACTGCAGATCAGTCCGATTAAAGAGAGCGCTTCACACACAAATCATCTTTTATTCATCCTCACGTCAGTCGAAACCCGTACGAGTGACTGAATTCTGGAAAAGAAGATATTTCGAAGAATGCTGGAAACAAAACTGGTATAAAAACCCCAGACGTTTCTCAAAATATTTTCTTCTGTGTTGCTAAAGAAGGCAAGAGGGGAGTAAATGATGACAGAATGATAATTTTTGTGTGAATTAAGAAAAATATGTTCGTTTTTTCTCCAAAAACCTGCTTGGACAGGCACAAACACACAGAAGAGTGAGTTTTTACACTGTAAGCAAAAAAATGCAAAACTGTGGAAAAACAGAGAAGGTACTACAAATTTTCTGCCAGGATCTGTTCTTTACATTTACATTTACAGACATTTCCTTTAGCTTTCCTGAAACAAAACGCAATGCACACTTCAAAATATGGGTGAAACACCTGTGAAAAATAAAAAAAATCAGTTTTTTGTTTTTAGCAATCAAATCAGTTTTGTGAACCACATGAGAACCAAAGTTTACAATAATATATTTTGGAATACATTACAATCTAAATGGTCAAACCCAGTGTGGCTTTTTTATTCCTCCCCCATCAATTAACTTCTTGAGAAGCCAAAAGTTGCGTATTTGTAAGAAACAAATCCATCATTAAGACGTTTTTAACTAAAATACAAGTCCATAATCTATAATAACACTTCCTCCAGTGAAAAAGTGCATCTGCTGTTGTCTCTCACATCAGAATCCAGCCACATATTTGTTTAGAGCTGTTTTGATGAAGAAACAAACTCATCTACATCTGAGATGGCCTGAGGGTGAACACATTTTCAGTTTTGTCTCAACTGTTCCTTTAAGTTTTACACAGGGACAGGTGATAAAGACTCTACAGGACAATAGTTGAGAAGTGGGTTAAAACTGCAGCATGTTAGTACGAGAACAGGAGCCGTTCTGAGCCGGACCTTTATTCGCTCTCACACCACAGCAGGAGCGCGAGGAGGAAGGTTAGCAGACTGGAAAGAGTCCGAGAGGCTGAAATAATCAGGCCATGATGACAAATGAGACGAGGGATGCAGAGAGAGAGAGAGAGGAACACATGAAGAGGAAAACAGAGGGAGTACAACATCTCCTCAAAAAATTCGCAGTGTCCCAGATAGAACGGAGTGCTTGTCTGCGCTTCACGAGCGACACACACACACACACACACTCACACACACACACTCACACACTCGGTTCCTCAGAGTATTTCTCCTGAATGTCCCGCAGCCAACGCCTCTCCACTGGCCTTATTTCACAAGGTGCCTTCATAAGGAACGTCCTGAATGAACTTCACAAGTTTCATGAGCTGAGAAGTTGAGGAAAGTTCTATCACAGAGATGCTGGACGGGATCAAGTGTCTCCACGTGAAGAGATCAAGGAGAAAATAAGGAGTCGAACGTCTTTAGCAAAACCTGAACTCAGAGGAAAGACAAGGAAGGAGTAATTAACCAAAACTGCAACACAAAAGAAGATATTTTGAAAAATGCCTTTGTCCACAGTGAAAGTCAATGGGGTCCAATGTTCTTTGGTTCCCAAAGTTCTTCAAAATATTTCCCACAGAAGAAAGATGAGAGAATATCATGAGAGAATGATCATTTTGGGGTGAACCGTCAGCTCTCAGTTTTATTTTACTGCAGCTTCAACTTCATCTTAGATGTTTCCCTAATATAGATATTATATAAAGATGGATCAAATGCAGAAGAAAGTTACTCATTAATTGCAGAAAAATGTATTTTCCAGCTGAAACCAACTGATCTAAACCAAAGACACACATGTACACATGACGAGTTCATTTGAAAAAACAAGTAACTCGTTTTTAACAATTTTCAAAAATCATGTTTTTTCATTGTGCATTCCTATTAATCTCAATCAAACTGCAGTTGGGTTATTTTGATTAGGTTAAAAAATAACTAACAAATACAGCTAACTAACAGAATAAAACACAATAAAAACATCATAACATAATAAAAAACATGATTTTTGAAAATGTAAAAAAACGGAGTTATCTGTTTTAGCAAATAAACTTCACATATAAAAGGGGGCATGAACTGCCTTTATTTTTTATTTTGTACTATTCTCTGAGCTCCACTTATAATGTTATCTAGCTTTTTACTTAAAAAACATCATAATTTAGAAGTAATAGGCTATTTTCTGTGCTGTTTTTGACCCCTCATCAGAACGCTCTGTTTGAATAGGCGTGGAGGATTGTAAACGCCCACTGCTGTGATTGGCTAACAGTTGTGTATGATTGACAGCCTACATTCATTCCTCACAGATGCACGCTGCTGTGATTTAGGTTAAAAAATGCATAAATAAATCAATACATATCAAACGATCTGTTTAACAGACAAAGCAATAGTGAGCACGTAATAAAAACAGTTATTCACACTTGTGTGTTGTGACAATACTGTCGGATCCAATATAGTCGCACAGCATCGTCTTTTAGTTTCAAACTTTCTGAAAATCCCGTGTCGAATTATGCTTTGTTTGTAAATGAATCTGCGGTAAAATGAAGTGAACAAAGAACCAAGTTGTTACTGACGCGGTCTGGATCTTCATTAAAAATAGTCCATTCATTCTTTCCTAACGTTGGGATCAGAAGGAAGGCACTCATTATTTATAGTAGAATTTGTATTATTATTTTGATAAAAGTGATGTAGAATCGGTGGGCGGGGCTAAACAGATAAAAGTGATGTGGAATCGGTGGGCGGGACTAAACAGGCAGTGATGTAGAATCTGTGGGCGGGGCTAAACAGGCAGTGATGTAGAATCGGTGGGCGGGGCTAAACAGGCAGTGATGTAGAATCTGTGGGCGGGGCTAAACAGGCAGTGCTCCGAGGCTCCAAAAGTGCCTCCTGCTGGCAGAGAATGAATTTGCATTTTTAATAAGCCCATCTGATTTACGCAGCAAACATATTTTGCTTGTTATTAGAAATAATCTACTCTAGAGGGATTTTGTTGTTGTTATTGATTCATTGTGGAAGTTAAGTTTGGGCCACAAAAGCGTGCATGAGCAGTAACGTTTGTTTATGTTGTTGCCGTTGAAACTGTCTATATGTGGGAATCGGTGGGCGGGGCTAAGCAGGCTGCGTTGTAGAATCGGTGGGAGGGGC